TATCACAATGTACATGAAGGGTTATCAATTGGATCTCTGAGTCTTTGTTCTGATTAGTCGGACCAGCTTATTGAAAAGGCAAGGCCCAAAGCCACAATTAATTAAGGTTATTATTATAAAGGGACCCAACAGGGTGGAGATCAGGGTTGTTAATGGCCCAATGAGCTGTGGGCCTTGTGTTAGCTAGACCGTTCTTATAATGATGAAGAGTAACCCTTGGTCTTGTCCCTTTTGATATAGTCAGAGCCGCCACGTCATCCCAATCTCCCAATGGGGAATCCTCTTTTTTCTTCAGTAAGGGTAATCTAAAGGGGATTACACTGATATGACATACATTTCCCATACTGAGGATTCCAGGCGAGCTTTGGATGGTTCACCTTCTTGACCTTAATGGGCCCTCTCTGCCTTATCCAGGAGCCTCTCCCTGCTTTCTCACTTCCCCATTGCATACAGTGGAAGGTGTCCATCCCAGTACATTTGGATATGTCTGCTGCTGTTCAATTGCTCCCCAGGCATATGTAAAAGTCAGTGCCCCATTGGCTGCCCTATTAGGAACATGTGAGCAGCCCATGGATTGGGGGTTTGATACATGTGGAGGGTCTACAACCCTCCACATTCAGACCATCCTTGATGAACAGAGGTCCAGTCTCCCATGTCCCAAGATCCTTGGGACAGGTCACAGAGGTCAGAGAAGAGTGTGGGCCACCAGGTCTGGGGGACTGCCTCATTTGTGGTGCTGTTGAGGACAACTCCATTGGCAGCATTGATCACCACCCACATCACCTTTTGGGGACGATGAGGGTTCTGCTGGGTGGTCACTGGAGCAGTCAGCATCAGCAGCAGGAGCATCACAGCCATCAGAAAGTGGGACACCATCTGTAATTTTTAAAGAACTTAAGAGCTTCTCAAGGGTCCAGCGCCCTTGGACATGGTTAGGGATCATTGTATTGGTCCTCTTATTTTCAAGATGAGCCTTGACCACCATTGTCACTTCCTTTCCTTGTTGGTCAACCTGTTCTTGTTCATCCTTCTGCTTTGTGGGAACAGGCAGGGATTTTAGATTTCTGGCCAGAAGCCAGATGTGTGCTTCCTCCCCTATGGGGAAGACACATCCAAATCCTCTTCCCATTGTAATTAACGTGTCTGGGCCCCACCATTGGGATGTTAGAAGGTCTTTCCATTTAATCTTAACTTGGGGTTTGAGGTTTAGGTGGCCCCCATGATTTTGGAACTTAGATTCAGTTGCTCCCTTAGAAAAATTCAAAATATTAATAGTAAATAAAGCCATTCCTAGTTGTAAATGGGGGTTGATTCCCCCTTTTGTTTTAAAAGTTGTTCTTTAAGACATTGATGGTTTCTTTCTACAATTGCTTGTCCCTGGGGGTTGTAAGGGATCCCTGTTCTTTTGATATATGTGCCATATATCGAAAAGTTCTGCCATGGAATGACTGGCAAAGCACGGGCTATTATCAGTCTTAACATGTGTGGGTAATCCTAGGGTTGCAAAACATTGGAGGAAGTGAGCTTGAGTGTGTTTGTTTTTTTTCTCCTGTATGTGTAGTGGCCCAACAGGTCCCTGAATAAGTGTCTATGGAGACAAAAACATAGTTCTGTTTACCAAAAGCTGGAAAATAACTAACATCAGTTTGCCAGAGGGTATTGGGCCGTAGGCCTCTAGGGTTAACTCCTGGTGGCTGTAAAGGGGGAACTCTTAGATATGGTTGACATTATTTGTAGGTGTGAACTGTCTTTTTTAGTTCTTTTATAGCAATCATTGGAAATCTATTATGTAGTCCCCTCCAACTGACATGGGTCATATCATACAATTGAGTAGCTTCCTGTAGGGTTAGTGCCTCTGGGACTGTCACCAGTCTATCCACCCCCGAAGGTGTTGAAGGTAAATTGGTGCCTCTTGACCCCCTAAAAGGGGTGGCTTAAGAGCCACCATGGGGGGGGGTATAGGGTTATTATCTAACTGGATGTGTGCTTGTGTCATATGGGGAAGTAAGTTAACCACATAGAGACTGTCTGAAAAAAGATTGTAAGGCTTGGAGATGTCCTGTAATGCCATTATCACAGTCAGCATTTCTGTATATTGGGCAGACCCCTGTCAGGGTTGAAATCTTTGGTGGCTTGGTGTCCTTTAACGGCAAGGTAGGCAGAGTCAGCTCAGCGCCTGTCAGTGAAGATGCAAATGGTTTGGGGATGGACTTAGATGGAAACAAGGAGGACATCTTGAGCGGGAGTCTCTGTAAAATAGGAGCCCATTTGGAAGGCTCACAGTGGCAATCAACACTCCCCATAAATCCTTCTAAAGTAGAGCAAGCCATTCAACATTCGCCAACCAGAAGGGGAAAACAATGGTATGGGGGTCTAGCCCATAGTGTTGCTGGGCCTGGGTCCTGCCCTTTATGATGGTGTCAGTGAACTGATCTGCCTGAGAGTAGACCAGGGGTATTCCTCCCAAAGACATATGGATCCATTCTAATGACTCCCCATCCTGGGTTAGAACTTCTGTAATCAGGGAGGCTTCAGCAAACAGCCAGAGGGACAAGGGCCTAGTCACCGAATACCTCCTAGAGATCTTTTGTCCAAGGCCTTCTGAAAGACAAGGAGCATCTCACAGTGCTCCTTTGTCATGGTTATGTTATCATGAGGCTCCTTGTCCTTTAGCAAGGCATATAGGGAAACCAGGTTTTCTGTGGAGATTCACACCCAGGGTCTCAGCCAATTAATCTCCTTCAGTAATCGTTGGAGCTGCGTCAGGGTCATAGATTCAGGCACCTCCAGAACAGGCTTAAGTGGGCTAGGCTGTGTCAGCATGAGGTATGACCCAAGTATTTTGAAGCGGGGGCACCTTTTGGACCTTTTCTGGGGCAACAGCAAAGCTCCCTTTTTTAAGCAATTGGAGCACCTAGGTCACAAAGCCCTCCAGAGATGCTGGATCCTGATGTCCCAAAATTAAATCATCCATGTATGTATATATTATTGAATCCTTTGACTTTAGCATAGGCCTTAAGAGAGTAGTAAGATACTGTTAGCCATTTCTTGTGGTAGCACTACCCATTCAAAACATTGATCAAGTTTAGAATAATTAAGTGAAGGAACAGAGAAGGCAAATTTATCACAATCCTCTGGATGTAGTGTTATGATAAATCTTTCCACCAAAAGCCACCGAGCCCCACTGCCACATGTGTGCTTTATGCCAGCTGCCCGCCTGAGTTAGGGCCCAAATTAATACACAGAGACACTTGTATTAGGTACAATGCTGCTTGGCCAATGAGTAGGATTTCTCATCTGTTAGCTCAGTCTTAATTATCACGAATCTATATATTTTATAAGACTTATCAGACGCCTTATTGGTGTCCCTCCTTGTCGGTGGCTCACATCCCGTTGCTGGAGGAGGGGAAAGGGTGGACACTTCCTGTTTTCTTTGCTTACATATGAGTCTCCTTGCTATGTCACTTCCTGCCTGGATCACCACTTCTCTACTACATTTCCCAGAATCCTCTTTGACTCCTAGTACTAACTTGCTCTTTCATTGGCCAAGCAGAACTTTATTAAACAATCAATAAGATAAACATACACAGAAGTACTTCCCCCATCAATGTAGTGGTATAGAAAAGAAGCAATCCTTAATATCAATTACCATAAAAGTATATTCTGTGGGAATAGCAGGAGTCCAGGGAATGCCCCTTAAGGGATGCCTACTAGTTCCATTCTTTCATTTATCTCGGGCAAATCTTGGAGCATGTGACAAGCCCCAGATGCCTTTTGAATCATAAACTCCAGGGTGTTTCATGGGCTCATAGAAGGGAGGATATGTCCCATCCTTAACTGTTCATCCACTAGTTGGTGGAGTGTTAGTGGCTTAGGTTTAGTCAGAGGCCACTGCTCCACCCATCCAGGTTTCCCGGTGCTCATGTGATAGACGGCACTTGGGTGGGGCAGTGGCCCTTATGATTGGGAGTATGCCTGGATAGGCCTCTCAGGCTCCCCCTGTAGTTGTGGAGGTTGAAAAAATCCTTCTCTGTGACTCCCTTTAGGTCTTTTCCCACCCTTTGTGCCTCTTTCTTCTCATCATTAAAAAGCCCGATGATCTGTAGTCACAACAGCGTCCATTTGACATAGCAAGTCCTGTCCCAGCAAATTGACAGTAAGGCCTTTGACCACTAAGGGAAGTATCTGTCCTTGGTCCCCGTCTAGGGTGGTCCAGCACAGTCATGTCACTGTTTCTCTTGATTGGGAGTTACCTTCCACCCCACAAACTGGGGGGCCAGGTGCAAGCTCCCAGGTGGAAGGTACTTCCTCTCCAGAGTACTCTCCTGTCTGCCCCTGTGTCTATCAAGCACTGAAACTCCTTGCCAACTATAGAAATGGTCATTTTTTGGGCGAAGTCCCTTCAATCAAGGGGACAGTCCAGTGGGCTTGTGTTGTCGCATTATGAGACCTTCTAATCCTACCTTTTGAGGGGCTGGAGGATGCCCCTCCTCTAGTTTAAATGCTTCCTCCCCAGGTCAAATTTTGATCTACAGTTCTTCTTCCAATGTTATCTCTTCCTGCACAGAGGACATGGGGTAGAGAGGGGCTTAGCCCATCCTGGCCTGTTAGCGCTGGGGGGGGGAGGTTGTTGAGGACAGTCTCTTTTAAAATGCCCCTCCTGCCCACATCTAAAGCATGCCCCTTTTCCTGGCAGCCTTGAGGACCCTTGACCCTGGGTAGGTGATGGCCTCCGTCATGGTGGTTGTCTGTGCCTGTAAGGCCAGGGCCAGGGACTGGGATTGGTGTTGCTGGGTACCTACAACTTGGGAAGCTACCACCCATCTACTCAGGGAACTGTCTTTTAATCCCCCACAGGCCAATCTATGGTCCCCATTCATCCCTTCCCAGACCAGCAGTTTGATAAATTGTTCTCTGAGGTCCCGGGAGGCAGCTTATGCTGAACACTCTGTTGGACCCGGTCTAAACTCTTCCAAGAGCTCACGGGGCTTCTGCCTCACCCCAGCTATGGGGGACGCAGTAGGTCCATCATCCAGTTTATCCCAGGTGTTCAACCCAGCCTGAATTACTTGATCTGGATACGGCCCAGGGACCCCCTGCTTGCTGGACCTCAGTGGAGTAACTATCTCCTGTTCCTGAAGGCATAGCATAGGTAATAGGGATGGCAGGGTTCGCTTACCTATTTGCCTCAGCTTGTACCCTACATCCCTCCTTATAAAAGGCACACCATTTGATAAACTGAGAACTAGGGAGGAGGACTGCCTTAGCCACATCCAGCCAGTCCTTGGGGATGCATGGATGGTGGGAGATGTCCTGTAACAGGGTCTGTGGCCAAGGGAAATTAGGGCCATCTTCCACCACGGCCTTGTGGAACTCTTTACAATCCTTGGGCTCCCAAGGATACCAGTCTAGAGGCCTGCTGGGCCTAGGGACCAAGTTTACTGGATAGGCTTAGGGGGCCCTAGCTGCATTCTCCTGTCCCTCCTTGATTGGGTAGGCGTCCACATAAACCCAGCCCCTAGATCTCCACCTACCATTGTCTGGTTGATCATAAGGGTCCAGATACTGCAGATTTCCCCTGAGGGAGGTATAGGGGACCCAACCCACTCACTCTTGGGAGTGTAAGGCGGGGGTCTGGAGTTATCTGGGGTGAATGGTTTGGCCCATTCCTCCTCCACCTCATCTTTGGTGGACTTCTCTGGTGTTACGATAAATCTTTCTGCCAAAAGCTGCTGCCCGCTCACCGCCACTTGTGCGCTCTGTGCCAGCCGCCCACCCGAGTTAGGGTCCAAATGAATACACAGAAACTTGTATTAGGTTCAAAGCTGCTTGGCCAATGACTAGGATTCCTCATCTGTTAGCTCAGTCTTAATTATCATACATCTATATATTTTATAAGACTTATCGGATGCCTTATTGGTGTCCCTCCTTGCCGGTGGCTCACATCCTGCTGTTGGAGGAGGCAAACAGGGAAAAGGGACACTTCCTGTTTCTCCTTTGCTTAAATATGAGTCTCCTTGCTATGTCACTTCCTGCCTGGATCTCCACTTATCTACTACACTCTGGTACCTCCCCTTCTCCCTTCTTACTGAAAATAGAGTTACCCAAACTAAGGGTTTCACTTACCCAGAGAGACCACTTAGCCTTGGCTGAGATATAGGTCCTTCAGGCTCCATTTTGAGGGCACCAGATGCAGAGTCTTAGCCCAAATACCGAAGGCTGAGCTGGGTCTGAGGAAGGGTAAGTGTGCTGCTCGCTCATTCCCCAGACTCCCAGAGACAATCAGATGCAGCAGGGAGTCTAGTCAAGCAGGAACTCATTTATTTCATTTTTTTCAGATTTTTTATTTGAATTAGAAACAAGATTGTTTTACATGACAATCCCAGTTCCCTTCTCCCTCCTGTCCTCCCCTATCCCCACTCCAAGTAAAACCCTACCTATCACATATCCTTTTTGCTCCCCCTGGATGGTGAGGCCTTCCGTAGGGTGTCATCAGAGTCTATCATATCCTTTGGGATAGGGCCTAGGCCCACCCCTGTGTGACTTGGCTCAGGGAGTATTCCTCTATGTGGAATGGGCTCCCAAAGTCCACACCTATGCTAGGGATAAGTACTGAACTACTACAGGAGGTCCTGTAGCTTTCAGAGGTTTCCTCAATGAAACCCATGTTCCTGGGGTCTGGATTGGTCCCATGCTGGTATCCCAGCTATCAGTCTGGGGAGCAAGAGTTCCCCGATGTATTCAGGTCAGTTGTTTCTGTGGGTTTCACCAGCCTGGTCTGGACCCCTTTGCTCTTCACTCGCAGGAACTCGTTTATTACCACACAGCAAGCATCCTTTAAAGCAAAAAACTGCAGACGGGAAACAGCCAGCCAATGGTTTTAAAGGTCAGCCTATCATGGGCCTAGGTGCCCTATGCTTTACCTAGTGAACATGAGCTGTTCATACAGTGACCTCATCTGGTTTGATCTTGGCAACCAATCACCCTTTTTTATAAACATCTCAGGACTTGCCATCCTAAATTCTGTAGGGAGAGGTCCTGTATTCACGTAGGTTGACCACACCCGTTTGGGCGTGGTCACAGGTATGTACAGGGGTAGGATAAAGAGTGTGGATGAGACGCGCTGGGTCTCTTGGGGTTCCGGTAGGGTCTCAAAAGGCTGCCAAGGCTAACCTGGGTTTTCGGTGTAAGTAATCTCCCACAATGAAATACCAGTATCATTCTTATTCAGTATTTGTTATATTTCTGTCACAGCGGGTGTCAGAAGTCAAGAGGAGGGCTCCATCCCCCACGTCGGGGTCATTCTCCCAGCCCGAGATCAGCAGGTTAGTCTCACCACCCGAGGCACCCCTGTTCAGTTGCGTTCCCAGTGGCCGGGCAACCACCCACCTGGAACCGATGTTGTCGCAGCCGCCGCCACTTTCCTTGGTCAGTATGGTCAGTACGAGGACTGCTGCTGGCCTTAGCCTCCGCACACGTTCCCCTAAGTGCGCCTGGTTGTACCCGCCCGCCCAGAACCGGTGGCGCCTGGCAAATCAAGGCTCCCGAGCCTTGTCCGTCCCGCAGGTTTAGTCTCCCAACCCAAGCAGCACTGTTTGCCCTCTGTCCACCTTTTCTCCGGTCAGGCTTACCTCAGCGTATCCACAAGAAGCCACAAACTACTTCACTGCTCAGCTTGGCACGATCATCCCTGCCTCCCGCTGCGCTGCGTGCTGCATCAAGCCAACCATCTCTTTGGTGAGAGAGGAGCTCCAGCCCACGATTACACTGGGCTCGTTTAACCTCCCCTCCACCTTTTTTTTTTTTTCATAAACAAAACAAAACAAAACCAAAATCCTGTGTAAAAAAATATAAGTATGTCCTGGGATGACATATTTAACAAGAACACTTATCCTGTGTAAAAGCCACTTAGACGTTTTTCAGATTCCATCCTGCACTGATCAACCTTAAGAGGCTGAATTGTGTTTTGCGGTACAGGTCTGCCACCTGCTGGCCAAATATAGTTACTGCGAACTGAAATTCACACCTCAGCGGGAGTCCTAGAAAATTGCTTGAAAATAAGCCTTATATTTTAAACTGGTCATAATAAATAAGGTTCTGTTTTCAATCATAAGTAATTAACAAAACCAACATGTTTATAACTATTAATTTGACCTTATACAGCCTTGAACTAATACAAACCTCATACAAAGAGTGTCACTATATAATTTATGTGTTAACTACGCCTGCTACCAAGGCCAGAGGGTCCTCTGCAGCTAGGGCAACAGGTTTTCCTGAGCCACCATGCAGGTGCTGGGAGTTAATTGAACCTGGGTCCCCTCAGGAGCAGTCAGTACTGTTAACCATTGAGTCATCTCTCCAGCCCCAAAGTGACATGTTGAAATGAGTTAATTGATAATAACAAAAACTTTAATAGCATTCGGTAGCATAATTTAAAGCTACTAATTAGAAAGGCTATTCTAACTATATACTAGGACAATGCCAAAACTCAAAACTGATTTCTGTTTTCTACTAGAACATTTGTGGACTTTGGGGCTGATTAATTAATTGGATGTGCAGTTTTTTAAATTTAAAAGTTTTTTTTAAAGTTTTTTAAATTTATGCAAGTTTCTTTAAAAATTGAAGAAAAAAACAAGACTGAGTCTCTGTGTAGCCCTGGATATCCTGAATTATGTCTGTAGATCAGGCTGGCCTTGAACTCAGAGATCAGTCTGTCTCTACTTCCCAGGAGCTGGTTTTAAAGGTGTGCACCACCAAGACTAACTATTTGCAATTCTTTATAATTGAGTTTTAATAAACTCACAACCATTATTAAAGGACAGAGAAAGGATCAGATGTGACCAGTGTCAAGGGCCCCGTTACTTCATGTGAAAATACTGAATCACATTCAAGAATTCTATTAATGAATGTAATGTAATGAATGAATGTAAAACTAGCAACTGAGAAAGACACAAGAAGGTAACAAGTGTTGTGTGTGTATGTTCGTGTGCACACACCTCATATGTAAAACAGATTATTTTTAACAAAAAGAAAATGCTCTGTGGTAAGAGAGGGTTTTGAATGAGTTTTATCCTAAAATGAAAATTACTGAAAAGAAGAGAAAGAGATCAGGAAAAGGGCACTGACTCCATGATGTAAGGACCATTCAGGCTGTAAACCTCAACACATGGACAGCACCACCTGCCAAAACTGAAACAAAGCCCTAAGTCATCAAAGTCCATATTTCTGGAAAAGTCTGTAAATGGACTAACCTTGCTTGGCTTCCATAGATTTGCTTCTGGATAAGTGTTCTTGTTAAATATGTCATCCCAGGACATACTTATATTTTTTTTAAACAGGGTTTTTGTTTTGTTTTGTTTTGTTTATAAAAAAAAAAGGGGGAGGGGAGGTTAAACGAGCCCAGTGTAATCGTGGGCTGGAGCTCCTCTCTCACCAAAGAGATGGTTGGCTTGAGGCTGCACGCAGCGCAGCGGGAGGCAGGGATGATGTGCCAAGCTGAACAGTGAAGTTGTTTGTGGCTTCTTGCGGATACGCTGAGGTAAGCCTGATTTTTTTTTTTTTTTTTTTTTTTTTTTTTTTTTTTTTTTTTTTTGCTTACAAGCTCTGAGAAAGGCTCAGTGCTACACTGGGATCCCAACCGGCTATAAAAACTTACTATTGGTTTAGACCATGTCTGAGCAGTCTCCTCTGGTGGATACCTTACAACAAATTTGTGTGAAATTTTACTTTTAGTTGGAGCAGTCCAATGGCAGCTGAAGATTTCTGTCTGGGGAGAATTTCTGGTAAGATCAAAAGTCCTTCAGGATAGAGTCTGGACCACCGCCATTTGTCAGGGGTCAGAGAAAATCAGGATATAAGCTAATGAGTGATTTCAGACTTCTCTGCAAGGGGTTTAGGCTAATTTGTTTTGAGTTATGTGCTGTCTTATGAAGGGAGAGTGAAAGCTCATTCCAGGAGACCCGAACATTTTGTAAGAATCTTCTCATCTCCTCTCTCGTTTCCCTATTTACAGTTGTTATTCTACTGCATGGGAGGGAGAGAAGGCCTGGCTGAAAGCAATTGTGTCTGCCATTTTCATTTCTGGACAGATATCCTGATGCAAGGGCCTGTGGGTAATTAGGGTTTAGCTCTCTGCAGGATGGTGAGTTCCCTTTCCCTCCAGTTAGGGTTCTTGTTCCTATGATGAAACACCATGACCAAAAGCAAATTAGGGATGAAACTCTAGTATTGTCAAGTTGATATGAAACTATCCAGCACAAATGAACCCGTCAACTTGACACAAAAACACAACACTTTTCTTTTTATGAAACACTTTTCATTCAGAACCTTTTCTTTCTCATTTGTCCCCAAGATGTCATGTTAATATTAATATCACAGTATAAAAATGACTGAAAAAGTCCCATGATCTTTACCAATCCAAACACTTTAAAAGTCAGTTTCTATAAAAAAACTAACATCTTTTTAAAAATTGATATTCTCTTTTAAATATTCAAAGTCTCTAACTGTGGGCTTCTGTAGACATAAAAATTAAGTCAAATACTTTTTTATTTCAAAAGGGAAGCACTAGGACACCATCACAATCTGAACAAAGCAAAACCAAGTCAGTGTCCAATGTCTGGAGTCCACTCATGATCTTCTAGAATCTTCCAAATGGCTTGAGTCACTTCTCTAGCTCTGCCCCAGACAGCATGCACAACTTGTCTTCTAGACTTCAGGATTAGGGTTAGGTGTCTTTGATTTGATGTATCTGTTCTCCACCTTCAGGTAGATGCTGTGTGATATATTTGCATGGAAAAAACCCATCCTCAAAGAATTTAACTTTAATTGTCTGATAAGTAAGCAAGGGACTAGGCAAGCTTAGTTCAAATTACTTTTAATTCAGAAGATACAAACAAATCTACCAGATTGGATTATTTTAAATTTATAAAGAAAAAAGGAAATACCAGCATTATACAAAGAGTGTCACCAGGTTCTTGAGGTTAAGTGTGTAAAAGCATGTTAGCCAATGACAATATAAGACTTGATAATATTGTGCATATCTATTATTGTGCATATAGAATATCTATTTTATGAAAGTCAAAACATGATGAAGTTTGCTGTGTTCAGATTTTTAATGCTTCAAGGAAAAAAAGCCTAAATTACAGCAGGATTTTAACAAATAACAAAAGCAGCCAAGAAAGAGATGGCAATGACTATATATAGTATAGAGATGGATTTCTGATGGAGAGCATATGATTATGGGCCAGAAGGATTTGTATGACAAATTACTTTCCCGCTAAAGGACTGTTATAAGATGATGAAAAAGCACAAGTTTCTATATGTTAAAGGCTTTTGACAGTTAATGCAGAATGGTATGGATTTTAAAAAATCTCCTGCTTAGTTGCATCATGTTTGTCAAGAAAAATGCTTGTAATTCTCTCTGTGTAGTGTGGTCTTTAACTTCTTAATAATGGGGTCTTACCAAGTCAAGATGGATGTAATAGCTGTCCTTCTCAACATTTATTCATTAGAAGTGTCTAGTCTTTAATATTATGACACAAAGTGGTCTACATAATTCATTCCTTTGAGCCTACACAATTCACCAAACAATCCAGTGACCTAAAAATCTTTGCAAAATAGCCTCATAATAGTTTTACGAAGTCCCTGAATTTGATTTTAGGAGGCCACATTCATGGGTATCCCAGGCTGTGAGTTGGTCACCCCGAAAGTTCCATGACAGAGTAAACCACTCTCTGTTCCTCAAGTCTGGTGTAAGTGACTTTCTGAGTTTTCAGTAGTCACCATTAGAATCCCAAAGCAATGAGGATCAAGGGCTTTGGTAAAAGCCACTATGTTCATCTTTGCCTTCACGTTGTCCTTGTCCCAGGGTGCAGCACAATGGGACAGTTCTAAAAGGATCTCCTAGCATCAAAGAAGTTATGGAGACCTTAGAGTTTGAGCTTTGGGTCATTTCACAGAAAAATACTATTTGTCCAGCAGACAACAAGAACGAGTGGAGACACAGGGCTCATAAAACTCCCCGACATCACTAGAAGTAATCCCTAAAGAGTTACAACTGCCAACAACAAAAAGGAGCTATTGGCTATATTTATGTTCTTAAATACTTGACAAAAATAGTACAACTGAAAATAATATGAAATTAGTAATTGACCAGTTGTAACCAGGATTCTCATCATGACTTAGTTCAACTAGGAGAACTAAGTTCCCAAAGCCCTCTAAATTATAATTCCTCATTTGTGATCTAAATTATTCCCAACTCTACCTCTATCAGCTTCATTGATGGCTTTGCATTAGGCTTTTCCTCCACACCAACCTCTCACTAGATTCACAGACCTTGTGTCTCAGAATATCAGTATATTGTTGGGACAGATGATCAAGGCTGTCCCTGAATACTAGGATGGGGACAGCCCCAGCCCTGACTCCATATTTTCAGGATTAGCTCCAGTTATTAAGCAGGTGATTTATTTCATCCTAATTTTTTTCCACAGGATGTAAGGCCATGGTGGTTGTCTGGACCAGGTCCTCTCTGGTTCTCCTCTCCCTACAACTGTATTTAAGTTACAAGGCCTGTCTCTGTGGGTTTGTAGGAAGAGAGGTAGTAGTACTCCAGCTGCAGAAGTTCAAACAGCTCATTTCTGTAGAGCTTCTTGGAGAGTTTTGTTAATTCTTTCAGTGATTGTTTGAGGAAGCATACCATCAAACACGTGCAGACTCTAATGAATAACTGTAATCTGAGGTTCTTATGTCAAGTTGTAAACCCCTTATGGCGCTATGAAACTCATCTAAGAAGACATGAGCTGTCCCCTCTTTAAACAGGAACATAAAAATGGTCCAGAACTCAAGGTCAGGTAATATCTCCTAACTAGTATAAAAAACGCTCATTCTCTCTTAGGAATGTCACCTGTTGAGACTTCACGAGCTGTGTTTTGATCCACAGTGTCTTTCTCATGTGTGTACATACTAATGTATGTATATTTGTTCATGTATTTATACCTATGGAGACTAAGCATTATTGGAAAGCCATGAGCACTGTGTTTTGAGCCAGTCTGCACTGGAAGTCACCAATTCAACTAGTCTGGCTCATGAGGAATCCCCATGATGCACTTCTCTCTCTGTCCCCTATACTGGGATTATAAGTGTGTGTCATCATAGTGTACATGGGTTAGGGGACACGTGTGTACTCATGTCCTCATGCTTGTGAGGGGCAAGCCCTCTATGACTGAGCTATCTCTTGGTCGCTCGTTCCTCACTAAAATGTTTATGTCATTTTTGGTCTACTGAATGTGACATTTCTATAGCTATGCCGAGTTCCCCTGTAGTTCCTGGCACGACAGTGCCCTCCAGGACTGTTGCTCTCACACCTTCCTAACCTCAGGCTTCTGGGTCCCTGGATCCCTAGGGGCAGCACTGTTTTAGGGCTTATCCCTTCCTTAGTCTGTCACTCATCTTTCTTACAAAGCTATCAGTTTTCTGAATTGTCTTTGGTATAGTATAAATTCTTAGTATGAAATAATTCTATATCCATTTCATATATAAATAATCATAGATGTGTGATCTTGGGTTCGAAATGTCTTCATTCTGTGCTACTATTTACTTTTGCTAGCCTACTCCTCATGAGAGCCTGAATGGATGCCTTCTGGGTCCCCAACACCCTGCTCCGATGTCATCCTGAACCTTGTACAATGACATAGTGGTGGGAAGCAGGCACTGGATCAGTGGAGTAGGCTTAGTCTCTGTTGTCCAGTGTTTGCTAGGGATGCTGAATTTCATATATCGCACCAGAAGTTTCATGTGTTTGACAAAATTTGTGTATTTCCAATTTTTTGGCCAATGGACTTTTACTCACTGTACTCCTAGATTATTATAGTAGTGAAATCCTGAACAAGTGAACTATGCTTGGAGAACAAGTGCTCACATATGTGTCTGAATTTTCAAGCTCCATTCATTTCACTGGGTGTGATTGTCAAGTAGGCCCAATTACATTTGATAACTGGTCATCATGGGCCCTTTTATTCTAGTCTTGATTACTAATATAAAGTCTCAGACCACACATTATACCCTACACAGTTGCATATATATTTAGATTACATAATGGCTTTAAAAGAGTCAAAGAGATGCCAGCATAGATTACAGGGACCAGACTGAGGCAGAGACAGAGAGATGATAGACACACAGAGAGACTCAATTCAGGCATTAGATGGGCTGATCGGGAAGGTATTGGAGAGCTGCAGGGTTGCAGGGTTGCCCCAGCCAAAGGATTTACTGGATGGTGAAGTGAGATGCAGGACCACAAGATCCAGCAGGTGAGATGCAGAACTCATTAGAATGGACCAGCAGATGAACTGTAGGAAACGGTTTGAAGTAGGAGTCATTAGCAATGCGGATGGAGCCGAAGCCTTGAAGATGCCCTGGAGTTCTCTGCCTGCTGGTTCCATGACACACTAACAACCAAACGGCATGTTGGTGGGGCCCTAACTGTTGCAGTACTAGGAGTCCTCTCAGGGGTCAGGGTGAGGGGGTCAGATACATTCTCAGGCCTGGTTCTCTGATAGGCATTTGTGCTCACTGCCTCCAACCTATTTTGATAACTGTCTAGGTGAAATATTTTTACTTTTAGATTTAAGTTAATCATCAGACTAAGCTTTTTGGATGATTTCTGGGCAGGCATTTGTCTGTCTGCAAAGTGAGGTGTCATGTTGTCCAAGCTCTTCATTGCACTCATTACAGAGCCAACTGCTGTAGGTAAAATGGAGTCACCCATGGTAAGGCCCTGTTTTGCACAATGAGGAGTATCTTAGAGCCAGGCCCAGCTTCATGTCCACAGACAAAGCTGTCAGAATGAGAAAGGAAAAGGAACAAGGCCAGAAGAAATCCCTGACAACAACAGGATCATTGCACTTAGATGCCCTGGTGAGTGAGGTTGTGAGGACCATCGCTTCCAGGGAAAAAAAGTGGTTGTTTCCCAGAAGGGAAGTTCATCCACTATTATGTCTAGAATTTCTTCCTGCTGACTGAGGGATCCTCTTCATGAAAACACTACAAGGTGTTTGTGAAACTTACCTGTGTCACTTGTCTTGTACAATAGTACCTGACTATCTCCCCGAAACTCTCACTCTTTGTCACCCTGACCATGCCCTTTGTAGCAGTGGTCAGGCCCCTAAGTGGGCAGCTTCCCCATATATATATATATATATATATATATATGGGAAGATGTGTCAGAAATTAGGTCCCCACTAATCTGCCACCTCAGCACATCTCCTGTCCCCATGGGTTATGTAAACCAAAGAACACACTGGACAGCAGAGGGGAGAGTGTTGGGTCACACACTTTACGGTCAGAAGCCACGGGCAGTTCAGGACTCTCTGTTGTCTCTGAAGCAGGAACCTCTGATTTTACGGGGCAGGTGCTCTGGGGTATGGGCACCAGTTCTGTGATACAGCATACACCTTAATCAGGGTCAGAAGATTATTAGGTCAGGGGCCTAAGCAGGTCTCCCATTCATCAATGGAGTTTCTCATGAAGAGACAGATATATTATGTATTTCCAATTTGGAAATATTTACTACCTGACTTTTATAGAAAAACTCATTTCTGCCTAAATGAACCCCATTATCTGATGCTGCCTCCCCAGGAGTTGAACTAGATCAGTCTGGGATGCAGGGACGAAGCTTCCACATGCTCCTACTCCACCACTGCACTGATCTCCATAGTGGAGGTGGTGCCCATTTCTCTTCTTTGGGTGGTGTGGCGAGAGGGGGGGGTTGCTGGAGAGCTTCTTCAGTTGGGGGTGTAAATGTAGACAGCTAGTGAAGGAGGGGCTTAAAGCTCTGTCTGAGTGGAGTAGTGAGGCAAGGCAGGGAAGGGAGGGGAGCTGGGTCAGGGGTCAACAATAAACCAAGTGGGTGGGCAGAATATCTCTGTGTGGTGGCACAGGCCCTCAATTCCTGCAGTTAAGCAAATTTGTGGTTCAAGGCCAGCTTGGGCGTCATGGTGAGGTCAAGGCTAGCCTGGGCTACAGAGTAACTTCCTCCATCAAAAAAGGGGAGGTTTGGGGGAAGGGGTGGGAATATGTGGAGCAGCTGCTGGTACAGTATACTGAGAATTTTAGAAGGAAAGGGCCCAGGCAATGCCTGAGAGCTAGAATTGGTACAGAGTGAAGGGTTGGGGTGAGGGATAGAAGGAACTTGAGACCTGGACTCTTCTGGAAAGAGTCTTGAGCTGAGGAAACCCTGTCCTCCCACCCTGCTCCTCTGTTTGCCCCATTCTAGTCTGATGTTCGGAACTCACTGGTTAGCCTAAAACACAGAAAACTCTGTGCCACCCTCCCCCATGTAGGATCCCAGAAACTCACCAGCTAGCTCTGAACACAGACAAACTGTGTGTCTCCAACCCCCTTAACTGCCCCAGGCTGTCCAGTTCCCATAGGATCCCTGGAAATCACCATCCATCCCTGCACACAGACAGACAGACATGCACACAGACAGACAGACAGACAGACAGACAGACAGACAGACAGACAGGGCAGTCAGCAGGGAAAGAAGCAGGGTCAGCTGGCAGTAGATGAGCTTGCTGGCTGCAGGCAGCTCCTTGGTTTCTTCTCTAGACTGGGGCTCAATGTAACTGTAATGACAGGAAAGGCTCAGTCACTCTCTGCTCATAGCCCAGCCCCAGGAAACACTGTGAAACTTAGTGAATTTGAGAGTATTTCTCCTCTTTGGTGCAGTCAAAACAAGTTTCTAGTTCTTGTTTGTCTAGATCCTTCAGATTCACCCCAGGGTCCCAGCAGGCTGATCCCTATTCCCTGTGGGTTTTTATGTGGCTACTCCCTTGGCTGAAGTCTTAGGGCTGGAGGGGGTGTTGAGGCGGGAGAATGGACAGAGGCAGGGGTGGGGACCAAGCAGGAGGGGCTCCAGGCTTCTGAATCCACACCACCCAGATTCTCACTCACCAAACAGGTCCTTCGGAACTCTCTGCATCAAACCTGGACAGAAAGCCAAGAAAGTGGCCTTAGGCAGCTGCAATCAGAAAGGGAAGTAACCCTGGCCAAAGTGCACATGCATTTGTGGGGTTTCCCTGCTCCCTTGCCCCACCTTCGTGGCAGACACGCTCTCCTCCCAATCACTTGCCTCTTGCCTATGGCCTAGGGATCCTGTTCACTCCTCTCTGACTGTGGCAACCCATCTTCCTGCCCCTCCTGCCCCCACCTCCTCTCTCTCCCTAACTTCATCTCCATCTCCTGGCTCCTTATATTAGTCAGGATTCTCTGGAGTAACAGAACTTATAGAATGAATGTCTCTCATATATAATGGAGATTTATTGGAATGATTTACAGGCTCCAGTCCAGCTAATCCAAAAATGGCTGGCTGTGAATGCAAAGTCCTAGAGTCCAGTACTTACTCAGTCACAAGGCTGGATGTCTCTGCTGCTGGCCTTTATTGTGTGCTGGGATCCTGAGAAGCAGGCTGTAATGCTAGGGAGGGAATGGGTGTACCTGCAAGGTGAGGACAAGCAGGCCGAGAGTTAAAGCTTCCTTTGTCTATGTACTTATATAAACTTCAGGGAAAGGTAGGTCCAGATGAAAGGTGCGACTTCTTGCTTCAAGATCTGACTTAAAGGCACGTGTCTTCCTATTCCAGAGGTCCGGATGAGGAGTGACTCACCCACCCAAAACTAAGCAAAACATCTCCCAGGTGTGCCCTCCATTTCTGGATTGGAGTCCATTCCAGATATAGTCTAGTGGACAACACATAGCACCACACCCTCATAGTCTTTTCTTTTTGTATGTCTTAGGAAAACATAGGAGGTTTGGTCCCCTGAAATCCAGATAAGATATCTCAGAAAGGGGCCTACCTGCTAAGTCACCTGTCCTCTTGATCAGCAAGACTGCCCTAGTTAATTTTCACTTTAGTTACTTGCCTGCCTTAATTACTTAGTTACATTTGCTTGTGACTAACCACCATGAACAAGGCATCTTAAAAAAAAAGGCATCTAATTGGGCTCCTGCTTTCAGAGGGCTGGAGTCGATAATGGCAGAGCCTAGCAGGGCAGCAGAAACAGCAGAGGTCACATCTAAATCCTGGAGTAGGAGGCTGGGAATGGATCTTTAGAAATCTCAAAGGCCTCCTCCAGTGACAAACCTCCATCTCCCAATCCTTCCCAAATAGTTCCTCCAATTAGGGACCTAGTGTTCTAACCTCTGAGGCTATGGGGTCCATTTTCATTCAAACACAGAGATTTGGGGAGAACTTGGGGGGTTGGACTCTAAGCAGCATATTTACAGCCTCTTATTTTTAATTTTATAATTTTTTAAATTTTGGAAACCATCATATTTTACATATCAATCCTCCCATTCCCTGTCCCTCCCATCCTCCCATGCCCCACACTGACCCCCTACCCACTACCCCCTACCCTCCACCCACTCCATAAGGATAGTGAGGCCCTTCATGGGGGACCATCAAAGTCCTTCACATCATTTGCAGGAGGGCCTAGGACCTCTTTCTTGTGTCTGGGTGGCAATAGTATCCCTCCATAAGGAATGGGCTCCCAAAATCCATTTGTGCAATAGGGATAAAGACTGGCTCCACTGTTAGAGGTCCCATAGACTGCCAGGCCTCCTAGCTGGCACCCACAGTCTGAGGGCTTGTTTTGGTCCGATGCTGGTTCCCCAGCTTTATGACTACAGTCTTTGTGCTCTCACTAGTTCAGGTCAGCTGCATTTGCAGGTTTCTCCAGCAGGGTCTTGGCTCATTTGCTCATCCCTGCTTCCTCTCCACAGCTGGATTCCAGGAGTATGGCTCAGTGTTTAGCTATGGATGCCTTCTTCTAAGGGGCTACGAATGGCAAACAAGGTAGCCATCTATTTCATATAGGTAGGGTAGTAAGGGTATCAAAGGCAGCCTCTCCTTCACTGCCTAGATTCTTAGTTGGGGTCATCCCTGTGGATCCCCGAACATTTCTCCAGTGCCAGACCTCTCTCTAAGCTTATTCTGGCTCCCTCTATCAAGGCATCTCCTTTCTTTCTCTCCTCTATTCCTCCCCTGTCTCAGTCCACCTGATCCCTCCTTTCTCCTCCTCTCCCCTTCTCCTCCACACCCCTTCCCACCGCCTTTCTCTCTCCCACCCACCGTGCTCCCAATTTGCTCAGGGGTTTTTGTCCTCTTCCCCTTCTTAGGGGACCATGTGTTCTTCTTTTGGAGTATTCCTTGTTTCCTAGTTTCTCTGGCAGTATGGATTGTAGGCTGGTAGTCCTTTCCTCTCTGTCTAAACATCCATATATGAGTGAGTACATATCCTGCTTGTCTTTCTGTGATTGGGTTACTTCACTCAGGATGTTTTCTTCCAGTTCCATCCATTTGCCTGCAGATTTCAAGATTTCATTGTGATGTGTGTGTGTACATGTATGTGATGTTTTCATGTAAGTTATAGAATGGCCATAGAAGGATAAGGAATCCACACATGGAAGCCTCACTAAGGTTAGAGGTAGAGAGTTGGTTCAGATGCAGTTGGCCAGACAATATAGTAAGGAGCCAGCTGGAGAGCTGGGGACTAACAGGGCTTAGCTGGGTTCAGGCTTGAATGGAACTGCAGGGGGTGAAGTGCAGGACCATGGGAGGGGGGAAAAGGGGAGGGGAGGGACAGAGTTAGATGGATACACAGCATGGTTAGGAATTGAAGCATGTGCTAACCCTGAGTTGAAGCACAGCAGACAATAAGTTCTCTGCTTGTTGGTCTCTTGATACAGACACGGGAGTCTGTTGTGAGGTTAGTGGTGGGCATCACCATTGTTGTGCTAGGCTGTGTAGTGGAATATTATTTCAACTATGTAAAGATGTGTTACATTTGTTTATGCCCCGAATATTACTTTAACTATGTGAATTGTGTTACACTTGTTTCTGCTGCCTTTTTAAGGTTGTATAGATGTGTTACATTTGTTTCTGCTACATTGTTAAATTACTTAAATATGTGTTGCTGTTTCACCTTGCCTGCATAAGGCAACTGACTTGTCTAATAAAAAAGCTGAATGGCTAATAGTTTGGGTGAAAGAGGGAAAGGCAGGATGGTGGGCAGAGAGAATATCTAAGAGGCGAAATTTAGGCTCAGAGAAGAGGAGAGAAGAGAAGGGGGAGAGAGAGAGGGATTCACCCCTGGTAAGACCCAGGCAGCTGCCAGCAAGGCAAACATGGAAACAGCAGGAAAGTAAGATATATAAAGACAGAAAAAATAAAGGTAAAAATCACTAAGGCAAAACATAGACGAAGAGAAACAAGTTAACTTAAATGATGAGTTAGTAACATATGAGCATATAATTAGGCTTAGCTTTCATAGCTAATAATAAGTCTCCATGTCATGATTTGGAAATTGGTTGGTGTCCATGTCCACAAATGTCTGTTACATGTGTGCTCTTCTTGTGGGCCCAGGTGAGAATGTTGTTCCTAGGTCAGGCTATGATGTTTGATAATTTCTCAGGTCTGATTTTTCAGAAGTTGTCTTATTTAGGGTTTCTATCGCTGTGATGAAACACCATGACAAAAGCAAGCTGTGGAAGAAAGAGTTTATTTGGTTTACACATCCATGTTGTATCCATCACTGAAGGAAACTAGGACAGACACTCAAGCAGGGCAGGAACCTGGAAGACAGAGCTGATGCACACACCACGGAGGGTACTGCTTTGCTTTCTGACTTGCTCCCCTTGTCTTGTTCCATTGCTTTCTTATAGAGCCTGGGACCTTCATCCCAGGGATGTCACTACCCACAGTGGACTGGGCCCTCTGCTGTCAACCACTAATTAAGAAAATGCCCTACAGCTGGGTCATGGTGATACATTTTCTCAACTGTAGTTCCCTCCTTTCAGATAGCTCTAGCTTGTGTCAAGTTGACATAAAATATCCAACACAGTTGATTTTGAAATGTCCCCATTCTCATGTGTCTAATTGATTTTTGATATGTCTATAAATGATGTCTTTCACTTTTAGGAATAAGACATGTATCTGACTTTGCCTTATGGGTGGTGCTAAACAGAAAGCATATCTGTGTGTACAGGAGATGCCCAGGCATCAACTTGTTGCTTGTATAATGGAGCCACCTTGGGGAAGACCCAGCCTGAAAGCCATCATTTTACACAACAAGGAGTAACCTAGAACAGGGAATAGCTTGATCTCATCATGGTCATACTCTAAGAATGAGAAAGGGACCAGGAATAAAGCGAGATGGAGTCACTGGTGACAATGATCTGTTACATCTTGATAAAGTGATAGAGGAGGCCTGGAGACTGTCAACTTAAATATTTAAATATTTCACAGATGTTTGGTCAGAGTGAAATGGCAGATTCCCAACATCATCAGATGTTTTTCTTTCCTGGCTGTGATGCAGAAGAGAAGTGCACGAGGCAGCTGTTGACAATGATTGTAGATCAGACTACAGATGAGGAAGCTGAGGAGTATTGTGGAGAAGCACCTGGTAATGGAAAGGGGGTGTCAGTTACAGTGGCACCTGCACATCTGCAGCCTGCTCTGATTCATTTCAGATGGGTGATCTCCCCACTTCACAGACCGTGCAGCTCAGCTTTGACTTCAAACCTTTCTGCCATTTTTTCCTTCAGATGAAAATGCGGTTTTGACATATATTTAAAAGAGATTTATTAACATCAAAACTGGTGAATGATTAGTCAAATATCTGTATTGCAGGTGAAGTTGGCTTTTTATTTTACTTTTAATGTGTCTTTGTGGTTTTTTTTGAGACAAGGTTTTGCTTTGTGGGCCAAGCTTGCTTAGAACTTCCCGTGTTCCACAGGGTCTTCCCTGTTTCTCAAGTGTTGTGATTACAAGTGTGTGCAACCCTGCCCAGAGTTCACAGTTTATTAAAAGCTTCTTGAATACTTCCCTAGCACGGGAGACCTCATGATCATGTTGGTGGTATCCCCAGGGCAAGGTTCACCCATTGCACTTGCAGTGTGCTGACCCCCGAGAGTTCCCCCAAATAGGGAAACTGGACTGAAAACTGCATGGTTCAACCTCTCTCTAGGGCAAAAATTTAAAAAAAATTATCTTGAAATAATTACACCTCCTCAAAAAACTAAAAGAACAAAATAAAACACAGAGCTTCGTATTATCTAATATTAGATAGAAATCTTTTTTACTAAGCATGCTTTTAGGGCAGGTTTGAAATACTAATAGAAAATCAGCATCATGGCCATCTTCATCACACTTTGTGTGCTCGCTCCACAGCTGCATATGGCAAAACCTAATGGTGTTAGTGAGGAGATTGAGTTTCATTTTCCTTTTGTAAACAATTTTTTTCAATACCAAAGGACACTAAGATAAGTACTGAAGTTTTATATGCACTGAAGTCTAGCAAAGTAATCAGTCAAATTAGATAGGTTATTTTCTTTCGTTCTATTTTCTTTTCTTATTGGCTGTTTGCTTCATCAACAGTTCACCATGTTTGCTCACCATGCAGTTCAAGCTGGCCTTGAACTTGGTGATCCTTTTGCCTCAGCCTCCTCAGTGCTGGAATTATAGGAATGTACTGAGGTGCCACCTCTTAAATAAACTTTGTCTATTCTGTTTTTGTCGTAAAGACTATCATAAACCTATAGCTACTAATGTGTGGGGTATGACACAGGCATCATATTTGGTGCCATTCTCCAATAAGCTTTTTATCAACACTGAAACTCGTGTATAATAATGATGATGATGATAAATGATAATAATAAGTTCTCCTTTTCTTTCTTTGAGATTAAGTCTCCTCCTTGTAGCTTCAACTGGCTTCAAACTCAGTACATAATCAAAGATAGCCTTTTAGTTTTCATCCTCCTGGCTCCTCTTCACAAGTGCTGGGATTCTAGCTATAAGTCCCTATGTCTATCTAATACTATAGCAGAAAGTGAAAACAAATTACTCTAATAGCATTTTGTCTAAAACATAGGGTACTGCCATGGGAAATCAGAGCAATGAAGAGAGTCTTGAAGGTCTTTAAATGATAACCATGAGACATAATTCTAAGTTCTAAGTTGTCTACATTCTCTATGTCTAAGTTCTCTATGAGCCCTCCTCTAGGTCTGCACTCCTGCTGCTCACACATCCATGTTCTTAGGTAAAGAAAACTGAACTTTGTGTGTTAAATAGGGAAACTGAGTTGAGAGATGTCTTTATTAAGCATCTTGGGCATTTCCTGATGAAGAGAACTGTGGAGCAGTGTCCCTCTGGGCACCCTGATGTGTCATAGCACACCACAACCTGTGGCAACAACTTGTCCTAGGGTCAATGAAATGGCTCTGTGACCAAAGAACTTATGTTATAGACATGATAACCTGAGCTGAATCTCTGGAACAACAAATGCAGTTGGAAGAACTGACTCCACAAATTCTTCTTTTTTGCTGTGACATCAATAGGGTCAACTCATGAAAACTCTCCTAGAGCATCTGCAATGCCCAGGGCACACACTGGGACAGGATTGCATGTTATCTATATGGGTCACTTCCTGAGCCTAAGATGCCTCACCAGGTGCCAATGGCGTGCCTGTTCCTCACAGTCATGGGGACACCAATAATGACTGGGTTAATGATGCTGCAGGTGGGAAATCTTTCCTTATATGGAATCTGAGTGGTAGCTGGAAGCTGTGTAGCATCTTGAGGTTGTGATGCTGATCTTGGGGCAGCACTTTTCCATTTCTGTCTCCAGTTGTATTTCATTGCATCCTTTCTGCTGGGCAGCTGCAATACATGCTAGTCTCCATGCTAATATATATGTCCCTTAAAGATGTTGCCTGTGTCCTGGTATTTAGTGAGTCAACACAGTCAGCTTGAGGTTTCTGCATGTTGGTATTAACCATATACGAAAGAGTTTGATTACAGAACGAATCCACTAAAGCACTCAGAATACATTCCTACCGCTCTTTCTCCTTAAATAAAAATGCCAGTAGCCACTCAACTGCATGCTCATGGAGGGAAGTGAGACAGAAAGAGTAAAATCGGGAGTCCTGATGATTGTGTGAAAACAACTTTACATGGAGTGAGTCCATGACAAATGTCATGGTGGTGGCACATGCAAGTGAGGCACTTGGGAGCTTGTGTCATTCACTTCCTGGTGTCTGAGCAGACGATATTGTATGGAACTGGCAGACAGACTGTAAAAAGACAGTGTTGGAGGAATGGGAAGATGGTTCAGTGGGTAAGGCCCTTGGTATGCAAGCATGAAGACTGGAATTCACAGCCCTGATACCCAGTGGGACATCTGTCACAAGTCCTTAGCAAACTAACCCTACCAAGAACCAGAAAGAGAACCCAGCTTCTTCCTTACCTCCTTCGGGATGACATTTCATCTTAACATACTTGCAAATGCAAATGGTAATAAATAGGATGATGATGATGGTTACTGCAATGATGGTGGATTTATTGTTATTTGGAAACTGCCTGGATGGTGGAGGCTGGGTGGTGTTCATGGTAGATGGAAGCTGCATGGCAGATGTAACCTTTGTGATATTTGGGGTCCTTGATATTGGTCCTTTAAAAAAAATCAGGAAAATTCTCGATAAAGTTACAAATACATCTCCATCAAAACCTTTGATCCCCAGACAACCCGAGGAACTCATGTGTAATAACTATTTTACAATTCCTGAGTAGAGAGAGGAGTTGTGTGAATGATGTCCTTGCAGAGTTTATTTCATTACCAAAGAAAGCAAATGTCTATTAAACCATCAAACAAAGTGACATATTTACTATGTTGAGAACTTTCTGGATGTTGGCTCAATTGTTGGTGCTTAATTGTGCCAGAGAAACATAATGAACCCTTTCAAAGTGACTTGAACCTTGTGGAAGGCAGCTCTAAGTGAGGAAGAAAAGGCTGGAAGTTTACAGTGATGCACACAGACATGGCCCTTAGCAGGCCATGTAGTGCCTGGGCTATGGACTAAATGGGAAAGAGAAACATTAAGAGGTGAGGTAGGAAAGAGATCCTTGTGGCTATCAGTGGCTCCAAAGACAGGAAGACCACCAGAAATCACTCAATCAAATCTTCCATTTTGCACACATGCTGACATCAATATAGACAAGTCACCAGATTTTCAAGAGAATTTCCATGCCTTTCCCATCCTCTGGAGGTTTCCTTTTGATAAGCTACTTAACAACTTACTTGGCATTTCCTTCTGTTGCTTTAAGATTTCCTTGAGGCAGAGATCAGAATCGCCCATGGAGAGCGTTGCTAGATCTTGTGCTAGTTCTGCATTATTCTCCCATTGCTCTAGGATACCTGTGTCATTATAGTTAATCACTTCCCATTTCTTGTTCTTCTGATTATAGCGATTAAGGCAGAAGGCATACTGTCCATCAATGGTGAACTTCCAGGAGGCATCAATGAGTTGTCCTGGTTTATATTGAGATACCATGGTGCCCTGCAAGTTATGATTATCTGCAAATGACATACAAAACTGTCATCTCCCTTTAAAGAGCCATCACCTGCTCCTTGGTCAAGCCTTTCTCTGCACCCTCAGTACCTATGTTCTTCCCTCCCTGGTTTGTCATTTTTTACCCACTGGGTACCAAGTCCTTCCAGACTAGAACAGGTTTCAGCTCTTTCATGCAAATACAACCAGAGCCCCTTCCCACATGGGCTCTGCCCTTCCTGTCTCTTATTGACCCTCTATCTTTGCAGCCTGTCCCATACTCACCCCTGGTCAGAACTGCCTCTTTTTCCATGTGAAGTAGCAGGTTACTCAACTCTTCTCCAGTGTCCTTTAGTTTTGGGTACAAATCTGCACATCCCTTAGTAGCATTTATGGCCTTTCCTTGGTTACTATACTGAAGGAAAGGCACTCCATCCACTGAGCACTGTCCTTCACACCAGTGCTCTCCAGCTTTGGGATGAGACTTGACAATGAAATTGCAGCTAAGAGAGTGTGTATCTGTGTGAGGCATAGTAGTATATTTAGATAAGGTTTCTAAGAGGCTTGGCACTCTCCAAGTAGGCTAGACAGGCTTTCCACTGACCTCAGGGCTCCCCTGCCTCTGCCTTCTTAGTACTGACAATAAAAGCACACAGCACCATGCCTGCCTCCATTACAGGAGTTCCAGGGATCAACCCTGAGTCTTCCAACCAGTTAGCACTCAGCTATGTCCTCATGCTTTGGACACAGGACTTTTAGTAGTCAGCAAACAGCCAGGATTTCTGGAGACAGTGCCCATGTGCTCCAGGAGTGCCTTGCAGCACCTGGCCAGAGGCTTGTCCATACTGCTCTGTGGGATGGTGTGTTACCCTGCTGAGAAGCACAATGAGAATGACCAAGGAAAAGGGCACAAACATTGCTGGAAGCTCAGGGATGATGATGGCTCAAGACTGTTGGTTGTTGTAGGAAACTATGCCTAACTTGGAATCCAACAGTATGGTACAGAAAAATCCCATCAGGAGGAGTTGTCAGGAGGCATGAACACCAAGGACAGTGGTCCACTGATGAGTAACAGGGACCCATCTCGAATCCTAACTGCTTAAGCAGGTCATGGCTAACAGAACGCAAAAGTACTAAATATAGGTACTTTATCATTAGCAAATCTAGATGCGGCTGGATTTTAACAATTAAAGACAAAACATGATGTTGTCCTATGAAAACCCCAGACTATAGTAATATTTCATTTATGATTTAACAAATAAAGCTTGCCTGAAGACTGGAGTACAAAGCTAGCCACACTAGTTAGCCATATGGTCTAGGCAGTGATGGCACAACCTTTAATCCCAGTAGCCATACTATTTAGCCATATAAGTTGGACAGTGGTGGATGGATCATGCCTTTAATCCCAGCCCTTGGGAGGCAGAGGCAGGCAGGATCTCTGAGTTTGAGGTCATCGTGGTCTACACAGCAAGTTCCAGGACAGCCACGGCTACACATAAGAACCCTGTCTGGGAAAAACACACACACACACACACACACACACACACACACACACACACAGGGGATGTCATGTGCCCATTGTTTAAAACTGGACCATTGGGGCTAGAGAGGTGGAGCAGCAGTTAAGGAAACTTGTTGCTCTTGCAGAGGATCCAGGTTTGATTCTCAGCAACCACTGCTGTGGAATGCTCTTTCCGTATGCTGTGAATATGTGTTGCTTTCATTGGTTGCTAAATAAAGCTGATTTGGCCTATTTCCAGGGAGAATTACGCTGTTCGGGGAAGCCAAATGGAGATTCAGGGAGAAGGAAGGCAGAGTCAGGCAGTTGCCAGCAGCCTCCCAAGGAGTAAGATGTCAAAACATCAGTAAGCCAAGGCCATGTGACAATACACAGATTAATAGAAACTGCTTAATTTAATGTAACAGCTAGCCAGTAACAATCTGGAGCCATCCCTAAACATATTATATTATAATTAATATAAGCCTCTGAGTTGCTATTGAGGAACTGGTGCACAGGAGAGAAACTTCCATTTACAAACCACACATGGTGGCTCATCACTGCCTAAAACTCCATGTCCAGGAGATCCGATGACTCTTTTGACTTCTGAGGGCACCAGGCACATATTGGTGCACATACATCCATGCAGTCAAAACATAAAATAAGTCTAAAGAAACAATTAAAATTGAACCACCTCAAAGACAGACCCAGACTGCCTTTCCAGGAGGACAGATCAGGTCCCATCAAGAGTGGCCATTCAGTCCAGCACAAGTACAGTCATTCTTTCTGTATTTCTGTCCTGCTCAAATATTTGGCAAGAATGTCCATATAAAACCTGATAAAAGCCTTAAAAGGGTTCTGAACACACAGAAATGAAGCCACACTGGGCTTCCTAGTCTCACAGTGTCATGTAGGCCATGGTGTCCCTTTGGTCTGAGCATTGGTAGAGGTAAGAACTAGTGGCCGGCTGCTCTGCTTCTCTACTCCTTCATCCTTTGGCTCCTGATAGCTGATTCTGAGTTATTTATTTATTTATTTATTTTTTATTTATTTATTTATTTATTTATTAAGAACTATTAGAATTCCTTCTACAAATCACCTTGTTTGGGCAGGAGTCAGGCCCAACCTCCGGAAGCAGAGGAAATACACTGCATATCAGTGTGGCTCCTGGCATGGTCCTGGGCCCTGAGAGACAATGACTTGTGTCCCTGGGCTACTGGAAGTCCCATCAAGCCTCAGACAGGCATCATGAGGTGAAAAGAGAAGCCCAGGAGCTTCCTGTGAGGAGACTTCCTGATCCAGTAGTCCAGTATCCCCTCCCCCTCCCCAGTTAAATCCTGGTAACTCACCAGCCAGCATCGTGGCCCCCCGATAGCTCAGTAGACCCAAAAGGCTAAGATTCAGGAAAAGACTGCATCGGGTGGCTGAGGTCTTTGCCATGTTTCCTTTCCCGAGACCTGGCTACAGACAGACTTGACTGGATCTGTGGAGAGAATCGGGGAGTCCTCAGTACAGCCTTGCAGAGGACCCCAAGCAGAGATTAGCAAAGTCCCAGGCACCTAATTCAGGCCTTTCCCTGCTCCAGCCATGCGGGTCCCTAGTTCCCATCTTTGGGGAATCGCTCAAGGCAGTGCTGCTCAGGTCCTCTCTGGCTACAAACTCCATGTCCCTCACGTTGGGGCACAGGGCGTGTGCCACTATGAAATGAGCAGTGTGGGGACTGCAGTTCTGGTTTCCAATTCGCTGGCTGAGTACCTGACCTGCAGATTCATTCCCCTTATTCCCTCGACCTGCTTGCTTTGCTCCTCTGGTGCAGCTCTCGCGGCTCCCAGAGCCATGGGACTGCCTCCCCTGCCCCATTGCCAACAAGCCACCAACCAGCTACGAACCCGCCACAGACCAGTCGCCACACCAGCCACAGTGCCTACCTATTTGTACTGCTGCCTCATTACAGTTGGGTTGGCAGTTTGTGTCATTTACTTAATTTAGCTCCGGCCGCCCCGTTCACTGCTGGCTGCAATAGGCACACTGCCAGCGCATTGAGTCAATCCTTCTTGCCTTACACATCCAGCTGCTGTCCAGCCCTGCCTCACTGCTAACTGGCTCTATTCTGCTCTGCCCTATTTCTGTGGAGCTCACCTTGCTGGCCAAGAGACCACACCTCTCCCACTGTCCCTCTTGCTTGCTCCCAAAGAAGGCTGGACTGTGGTACTGAGGCTAGGATACTGTTGTCCTGGTCTCCAATACCCTGTTGTCCCTTCATCTCAATCAGGGGTCGTGAACAAAAGAATCAGAAAAGATAGAGACAGAATAAAATCGCTGCCTTTCAGTAGGTGTCACAGCAGATCCCAGCCAGAATCAGCAAACTATATACAGGATCGCTCACCACAGACCACTCCTCCTTAACTTATCTAGGTCTCCCATTATTTCTGTGCTCGGCCCCTTCAGATGCTGACCAATCAAAAGGAATCTCTGTATAATTTAGGAAAAGCATCGCACAAGAGAAAGATGCCATGGGACAGGGTTCAAGCAGAGGGTTTTATTTTTATATTTTAATTAGGGAAAGGGATCATAAAATGGGGGAAAGGGGAAGGAGAGAGAGAGAGAAAGAAAGAGAGGGATGGAGGTGGGCAGGGCCCTTTTAAAGGGGAACATAGTGAATACACAGGTAGTGCTCTTTAGTGGCTGCATCTGCATCTGAGGATGTATCCTGTCAGAAGCCCAAGTGCAGGCCAGTACAGATGCCTGAATACTAACATTCCTCTCTTTTTATTTATTATATAAAAAGTGAGACATTAGAAAGGGTTAGCAGGTGGGCAGGGATGAGGACGCCATGTTCTCAAGACTACTTCTTGCTGACCTGGGGGGCATCATTTATCTTTGGGGGACTTGGGAAAGCTGGGGTGCTAGCATTCCCTGGAGTAGCTGTCTGTTTCACTTCACTGTCCAGGCTCTGTGAAACCATCAACGTGCCTCCTGGACCTGGCAAAATGCCATTCTTGGTGGATCCAAATGACTCCCTAGGGCTTAAAGCACCTGATCCTTTCCCATCACCACAATATCACCTGGACATATTTGGTAGTCTTGTGCCTCCAGATCTATGGCCAATAGCTGGTGTCCTGCAGCAATAGCTGACCAATGAGTCTCCAAAAAATATCCCAATGAGCAAGGAGGTACAGACAATGACATAGTTCCCATGAGTGAGGAAGAGAAGTAAGACCCAAGGGTCTGCAATTCTTATTGTCCCAGGAATTCAGAGAGTGTCGATTTGGAGACAGGCACAGGCCACCCAGTGAGCTGTCACTCAAAGGGTAAGGGCCAAGGGCTCTGATTCTGAGAGAGACACAGCCCCCTAGTACCAGGACTTCGAGAAAAGCCAGAAGGCAAGGAAAGGACTATGCTTGAGAAAGGAAGCCTTACATCCAGGGAAATGGACAGAAGTAGGTTAGCCCACCAGAATCCCGGTTGATATTGAATGGAAGAAAAAGCTATCAGTGATTGAAAA